ACGCTTCAACATGGACAGGGAGGGCTAACACTACTGGTTGGGGCCCCATTCTAAATAGATCATCTCGATCCAAAAAACCATATGATACAATTTTTTTCATGCTGTCTACTTTCCTTAATGAATCTCAAATGAGACTTTATACGACTTTATTCTTGAGAGTTTCGGCAAGCAAGAAGAAATCTGTTCCTCACCAGCTGTGAACTCCCTGATGCAGACTCCATGTCTGATGGTGCTCCTATCCCTTTCATCTTTCAGGCATCACCAACCGCCCCCCTCCGCCCCTGCCCCAGCCTAGCCTGGCCTTTCCACTCAATACACATCCGACAAAGAAACAGATGAGTTTTTATAATATATATCCTATAGTAACTCATCCAGTAGTAGTTCTGCTAAAACAGACACCACTTTATTGATTTTTATTTTTGGCAGAGAAACTCTGTTTCTGTAATTAGCATGTAATAGTAACAGTCTTGTTTAATATCCAACTATTTCCCACAGATGATTAATCACAAGTAACACTGCCAAAACAGGATCTCTTAAAAATGTGCAAAGAGGAGGACCGAAGAGGGCGGTGGAGGAAGACCACCCCTGGCTCACCTCCTCCATGGACACAGCAGATAACAGGTACATCTGTGTGACTAACCCTAAATAGGACCTGACGACAGCAGAACGGATCTTGCAGCTAATCACAGCAGAGGCAACACTGGAAAGGGGAGGAGGAACAGAGCTGTGGTTGGGAACCAAACCCCGAGTGACACTGACCACAGGAGAGAGCAGGGAGAAGGGAGATCACACCGGACACCAGATACCCCAGCACCGGGAACACAAGCACCCACTGCATCTGGCCTTGAAAACTAGCGACGCTTAACTTAGGGAGCTTTTAAAATCAGCGGGGCTTAACTCTGGGTACCTTAAAAATCAGTGGGATTAACTCCAGGAGAGCAAGAGGACATAGGAAACTGAGTCCCCACCCTTAAAGAGCCAACATATTAAACAGCTCCACCCAAGCACAGCACAACACCAGGAGCTTGAGAAGTGCCCACGGAATATGTGCAGGAGATTTACTTACGAATCTCAAACGTGCACTAGAGGGGCAGGGGTCTTCAGAAGACCCCCCCCGAGAACAAAGCGCTGGCAAACACCATTTCTCATCCCTGCTCTTGGCCTAGCTAGCCGGACTTTTGCGGGAACCAGCACTAACGCTCCCCACCTGTCTAGCTAGTGCCATACCCCGTCCCCTCGTGTGCTCCTGTGGACTGGCCCCATCTAACCTGCCTGCCGTGGCAGGCATCCCTCCAAAGCGGCTCCTGCCCTGCCACACACTGCAAGCAGCCCTGGCAGGGCTCGGGGCCACTCCAAAAGTGCCACCTGCCCCGGGGAGAGGGAGAGGAAAGCCCACGCAGCACGGCGTCCAGCTGCAGTAGCTGAGCCTTTTCGCTGGCTACTCAGGGACAGAGCCTTGCCATTCAGTGGGCCCGCAGCTGTGGCAGAGGCTGACTGCAAACACCTAGTCTGATCACTGACTTTACCCACCTACAAGCCCAGGTAGTCCTCAGACGGGCACCTCAACAGCACAAGGACCAAACCCCGTCCAGCACACCCACAGCACACGAAAGTGGGTCACTGCAGCTGACTGGGCTGAAGACAAACGTGGCTCGGCCACGACGGCACGGTGCATGCCGTCTGCATAGGAGACGCCCCTGGAGCACCTGCTTCTGGTGCCCAGGGCGCACTGTGCTACAGGGCACCACATGACCTCTTCTATGCAAGGCCACTACTTTCGAGGCCGGGAGACATAGCTGACTTCCCTAATACACAGAAACAAAGTTAGACAGAAACAAAGAGTCAGGAGTGTGTCCCAAATGAAAGAACAGGACAAAAATCACAGCAAAAGAGCTAAATGAGCGAAGATAAGCAAAATGCCTGATAAAAAAATAAAAGGAATGGTCATAAAGATACTGGACTTGAAAAAAGAATGGATAAGCTAAGAACTTCAACAAAGAGAAAATGTAACACAGAACCAGAGATGGGGAACTCAATAAGTAGAATTAAAAAACACACTAGAGGGAACAACAGCAGATCAGGGGAGGCAGAAGAATGGATCAGTGATCCAGAAGACGGCACAATGGAAAGCAATTAAGCTGAGCAGCAAAACAAAAAAAGAATAAAAAATGAGAGTACGTTAAGGAACTCAGAGACATCATCAACTGTATTAACAACTGCATCGTAGGGACCCTAGGAGGAGAAAATATAAAAAGGCAGAACTCTTATTTGAAGAAATAACAGCTGAAACACCTTCCCTAACCCAGAAAAGGAAAGAGACATCTGGATCCAGAAAGCACAGAAAACCCCTAACAAGATTAACCCAAGGATGTCCACACCAAGGCGTAAAAAAAGTAACAATAAAGAGAGAATTTTAAAAGTAGCATGAGAAAACACAGTTACATACAAGGGAAATCCCATAAGGCTTTGGCAGATACATTCAAAGTGCTGAAAGGAAAAAACCTGCAAGCAGGAATACTATCCAGCAGGATTTTTATTCAGAATTGAAGATGAGATGAGGAGTTTCCCCAAACAAACATTAAAAGAGATCATCGCCACTAAAACATCCTTATAGGAAGTGTTAAAGGGACTTGAGGGGAAAGGAAAGGCCATAACTAGAAGAAGTTATGAAAGGAAAAAAAACTTCACAGATAAAAGCAAACTTCTAATAAATGTAGATTAATCATTTAAGAAAGTATGGAGGTTTAAATACAAAAGTAGTAAAATCAATTATATGTACCAAACTCAGCCAAGGGATTTCACATTTTACAACGTAAAAAGATGTAAAATATGATATCACATACATAAGACATGGACAGGGTAAGTAAAAATTTAGTGCTTTTAGAATATGTTCAAACTTAAGCAACCATAACTTCATACAGACTTCTATTCACATTAAGATATACATGAACCTAATGGTAACCACAAATCAAAAACCTGTAACAGATATACAACAAATAAAGATAAAGAAATTCAAGCATAACACTAAAGAAAGCCATCAAACCACAAGGGAAGAGAGCAAGAGAAGAAGAAAGGAATAGAGAACTATAAAAACATACTGTGTATGTGCATTACACCATACACAAAAATAAACTTAAAATAAACTAAAAACCTAAATGTGAGACCAAAACCATAAAACCCCTAGAAGACAACATAGGCAATAATCTCTCTGACACAGCCATATTTTTCTACATATGACTCCAGAGGCAAGGGAAACAAAAGCAAAAATAAACTATCGGGACTACACCAAAATGAAAAGCTTTTGCACAGCAAAGGAAACCATCAACAAAACAAAAAGCAACCTATTAAATGGGAGAAGATATTCGCAAATGACAGATCTGATAAAGGGTTAGTATCCAAGTTATACAAAGAACTTACGCAACTCAACACCAAAGAATTCAATTAAAAAAAAATGCACAGAGGACTTGAGTAAACATTTTTTCCAAAGACGACATCCAGATGGCCAACAGACACATGAAAAGAGGCTCAACATCCCTAATCATCAAGAAAATGCAAATCAAAACCACAATGAGACATCACCTTGTATCTGTCAGAATGGCTAGAATCAAAAAGACACGAAATAACAAATGTGGGTGAGATTGTGGAGAATAAGGAACCCTTGTGCCCTGTTGGGAGAAATGTAAATTGGTGCAACTACCGTGGAAAACAATTTGGACATTTTTCAAAGACTTAAAAATAGAAATACCATATGATCCAGTAATATGACTACTAGTATTTACCCAAAAAAACACAAGAACACTAATTTGAAAAGATATATACACCCCTATTTATAGCAGTTATTATTTACAACAACCAAGATATGGCAGTAATCCAAGTGTCCATTTATAGATGAATGGATAAAGAAGATGTGGTACATATGCATGCATGTATACACACACACACACACACACACACGCACACACACAAGGAATATTACTCAGCCATAAAATAAGAATGAGATCTTGCCTTTTGTAATAACATGGATGGACCTAGAGTGTATATGCTAAGTGAAATATGTCAGGGAAAGACAAATACCATGATTTCAATTACATATAGAATCTAAAGAACAAAACAAACGAACAAATAAGACACAAAGAAACAAACAAACCTAAAACCAGACTTAACCACAGAGAACAAACTGGTGGTTGCCAGAGGGAAGGGGGGTGAGAAGATGGGTAAAATAAATACAACTTCCAGTTATAAAATAAATAAGTCATTGAGCACCTGGGTGTCTCAGTCAATTGAGAATCCAATTCTTGATTTCAGCTCAGGCTGTGATCTCACAGTTTGTGGGATCGAGCCCCGTGTCAGGCTGACAGTGTGGAACCTGCTTGGGATTCTCTTTCTCCCTCTCTCTCTGTCCCTCTCCCGCTCGCATGTGCACGCTCTCTGTCTCTGTCTCTCTCTCTCTCTCTCTCACACACACACACACACACACACACACACACACACGATCTCTCTCTCAAAATAAATATATTTTTATTTACTGTGTGAGCACTGAGGAATGTTGAAGATTGTTGGATCAATATGTTGTACAACTGAAACTGACATAACACTGTATGTTAATTGCACTTCAAATAAAAAAAAGGTGGAAAAAAAATTCATGATAAAAAATGTTTGAGGTAACTTGAATTTAGAAATCTATGCAGAAATCACAAAACGAATACTGATTTCTTTTTCTGAAGATGAAGTGACCATACAATTTATCTTCCATCCTAGAATACTTTTAAGAGTATGAGGTGATAATACCACCACCACCAGGGAAGCATGGGTAAACGTAGACATTTGGTCACTGTAAAAGGGAGAAAAAGTAGGACAAGAACTATTCACACAGTGTGATTTTTCTTATTCAGGAGAGATAAACAGTACAGTTTGCATGGAAGTGAAGATCAGATCCTAGAGATAATTTCCTATGACACATTCTCAGATGAACAAAGATTTACAAATAAACAGAAACTCACCTCTGGTTTAGGGACAAAAGCCCGACCCGGAATGGTCAAGATGTGCTGAACGTTGCAGAGGTACTGGGCCATAACAGAAAGGCGACTGCGCTGTTTGCTTCCTGTACTGGCTGTAAGTCTCTATGGGACAAAAAGGAATTTTTAGCAAATAATTAATCCAGTCTGATTAGACGGAATGCAGCCAACATCCTATTATCTATGGACACTAGATGGAGTGTTGAGATAAATTTTAAAACTGTAGGCTGTCTGACACATGATACACAGGCAGCATGGGGAACATTTTCCTCCAATATCAGCAGAAGCGAACCTAGGAAATGTGAATTATATCCTATATAATGCACTCAAAAATCCAGTAAGAAAACTTCCCTATCACTGGATGCTGGGGATTTTCAAACCACTGTTACATTATGTAGGAGAAGGTCCTATATGAAACAAGTATCAGTCTATATTTGCTGAATGAAGAAATTAGTAAGCATAATTAAGAACTAAAAAGACTTATTTAATTTTATGAATTACCAAAATATATGAAGGAACATTTTCAACAGTGTGCTTTTCTTTATTTAAATCTAATAAAACTTAGGGTCGCCTGGGTGGCCCAGTCGGTTAAGCTGCCGACTTCGGCTCAGGTCATGATCCCACGGTCTAGGAGTGCAAGCCCTACATCAGGCTCAGTGCTGACAGCTCAGAGCCCGGAGTCGGCTTCAGATTCTGTGTCTCCAGGTCTCTCTGCCCCTCTCCCATTTACACTCTGTCTCTTTCGCTCTCAAACATAAACATTAAAAAAATCTTTTAATCTAATAAAACTTTGAATATTCAGAACTCTTGGAGAGTGTTCTTTTGTTTTTGCAAAAACCAGGAATTTCATCTTTTAAGAACCTAAACAATTTTAAAACCAGGTGTATCTAAATTTTTTTTTTAATGTTTTATTTATTTTTGAGACAGAGAATGAGCAGGGGAAGGGCAGAGAGAGAGGGAGACACAGAATCCGAAGCAGGCTCCAGGCTCTGAGCTGTCAGCACAGAGCCCAACGCGGGGCTTGAACTCAGTAACCGCGAGATCATGACCTGAGCCGAAGTCGGACGCTTAACCAACTGAGCCACCCAGGCGCCCCAAAACCAGGTATATCTAAATTAACTCATAATTGCAATGCAATTTCAACCAAAATCTCAAAGGATGTTTGGAAGGAAATTTACATTAAATTCCCTAAAATTTTATATGGAAAGACAAAGGGCCCAGGGTAGCCAGAAAGCTCCTGAAGAACATCAACGTGGGGCAGGCTGGGGCAGACTCACCCCACCAGACATCAAAATTAAGGCCAAGTATGGCATTGCTCTAGGCACAGACCAACAGAACAACGGCCTTGGAAACAGACCCAAGCACATGTGGATGTTTGCCGTGTGACAGATGTAAGGCAGCAACCACTAATAGAAGAAGGATGGACCACTCAATCTGTGATATTGGTAGAAGTAGGTATATCTACAGGAGAAAAGAGTAACTCCCCATCTCGTACCATAACCAAAAATAAATTCCAAGTGCATTAACAAAAAATAAAGAGCAAAACTTTAAAATTTTTATAAGTATTTATTACTCCATGCTAGGCAAAAATTTCTTGAAGATGCAAAAGCAAAAGCCGTAAGAGACTGATCTGTTATCTATTAAAATTTAAAACTTCCATAATAAAAAAACACTATAAACATAAGTCACAGAGAGAAGGTATTTGAAACTCCTTTGACAAACGATTAGTGTTCAAAACATAGGAGAACTCCTACACATCAGTAACCGAAAGATAAACAATAGAAAATATGCTAAGAAATACACTAAGAGCACCCAAATGAACCATAACCATGAACTATGCTCAACCACATTACAAACTAAGGACATACACATTTCAGCTATAATGAGATAAGCTTTCCTATCCACGAAATGAACAAAATTTCAACAACAACAAAAAGAGCCTGGCAGAACCTAGAATTGGTGAATATATGGAGCCAGAGGAACCCCCACCTACCGCTAGGGAGAACAGGTACAAGCACTCTGCATTACAATTTGGCAAAATATACAGGAGAGCCGAAGCTGAGTACACCCTCATGACCCTTTAGGTGTACCTTCAGGACGTGTCCTAGAGAACAGTACATATACTTCCACAAGGAAATACCGTGGAAGAATGTTCCCTACCACATCATACATGCATAGCGTCAAAAATGGCGAGAAAAACATAAAGGCCCGTCAACAGGAATGAATAAGCAAACTGTGGTAATTTTGACAATGGAACACTAAGTAACAGTTAAAATGAGTAAGAAGGTGTTACCAGCACAGATCCCAAAATAGAGCAGAAAATAATGAAGTGGCAGAAAACATGTGGAGTATGACTCCATGTATATAAAAACTTCAAAACATTACCCGTCATTGTTTCCTGTGTGTGAACATATATGTACTGCAAAACACATGCATGGGAATGATGAGTATCAATTTTGAGTACAACTCACAGGAGAGAAAGAAAGGGGGCAGAAGAGGGTTTTAAGCATATCTGTAACATTTTATTTCTTAAAAAAAAAGACCTAAAAATATGGCAATGTTAAGATTAGACATAACTGAGTGGAGGATGAAAAAAAATGAGGCACACTGACTTTTAAAAAATGTATCCTGCTTCTCTATGTTCTTAGAGTTTACTGGATACTCTGAGCCTCTTCTAAGTGATACAGGGTCAGCCTTACAAACGCCAATGGCTGCTGGATTAATCGCGGAGTTGAGCACGTCGGCCGTGTGCCACACCACTAAATGAATGTTGACCGCACTGCATTTTGTCTTCCTGCTTCACTGTCATGTGCAGATCCCTAAAATTCCCTATTATTTGCTACTTCTGACCTGTTTGGACACGAAAACCACATAATTTGGCTCGCAAGAGCTTTGCCTTACGTAGGTTTTAAAACTGAGATGCTCGGGGCGCCTGGGTGGCTCGGTCGGTTAAGCATCCGACTTTGGTTCAAGTCATGATCTCACAGTTCGTGGGTTCGAGGCCCACCTCAAGCTCTGTGCTGTCACCCGGGAACCTGCTTCAGATGCTGTGTCTCCCTCTCTCTGCCCCTCCCCTGCTTGTGCTCTGTCTCACTCAGGAAAATAAACGAACGTTAAAAAAAAAATTATCTGAGATGCTCAGAAAATTTCCTGTGGGGAAAGTAATAGATTTCGTAGCATCTGTTTTGTTACTCAGAAGCCATCCCTCCACCTCATCCCTCTTTTTAAATTACCTGGCTCTGGTCTATATTTAGACAGTTGAAGTGACTGGGAGGCCCAGTTCAGGATAAGTGATAGGCTGCTACAATATAAATGACAAAGCAAATTGTTCCTTACTAAACTGTAAAACCAAGAAATGCAGATATTCAAGCAAAAAAAAAAAAAAAAAAAAAAAAAAAAAAAAAAAAAAAAGACAAACACCAGAAGCCCGTATTTAAAGAATAAACTTATGGATCAAAGGGTCAAAAATATTTCTAGTTCCTCACGAATTTCTTTTGGAGCTTAAATGTACCATTGCCACAAAAGTAAAAACTTCAAAGTGCACTGTGCAACCGGCACAATTCAAAGCAGTTGTGTAAAACTAAAATCTAGCATGAACTTAATCCCAAAATAAAAAAAAAAAAATAGGGGCGCCTGGGTGGCTCAGTCAGTTAAGCGGCCGACTTCGGCTCAGGTCATGATCTCAGGGTCCGTGAGTTCGAGCCCCGCGTCGGGCTCTGTGCTGACAGCTCAGAGCCTGGAGCCTGTTTCAGATTCTGTGTCTCCCTCTCTCTCTGACCCTCCCTTGTTCATGCTCTGTCTCTCCCTGTCTCAAAAATAAAAAAAAATAATAAAAAAAAAAAAGTTAAAAATAAATAAATAAATAAACCAGGGGTGCCTGGTTGGCTCAGTCAGTTGAGCGTCTGACTTCACCTCAGGTCATGACCTCACAGTTTATGAGATCGAGCCCCACATAGGGCTCTCTGCCGTCAGTGCAGAGCCCGCTTCGGATCCTTTTGTACCCCTCTCAACCCCTCCCCCCAACTCTCTCTCTCTCTCTCTCAAAAATGAATGAACATTTAAAAAAAAGAAAGTCTGCATATGAAAATTAGTATTTATGCTGGATTGTTTTCCAATATTTTACCTTATACCTCAAAGGTGTTCTCACTGATGAATTCAACAAAATTTTAAAAATCACTTTAACCAACGAGCAAACCAGTGAGGCACAGAGGGTAAACGAATTGGACGTGAAGGCATGCTTAAGTATATTTCACTCAGGGTGCTACGCAGGCCTCCACTCCTGCCAGTAAAGCCTGACCCCTCAGCTTGACCCATCCAAACTTTGCAGCAAATACACCTAGGCTGTGGAGATGAAAATTGTGGATAATACACCTGAATTCAGAAGAAAGCAGCACATTCATTACGGAAAAATTCAAGCCACACAACAGAAAGCTCTGCAAAAATTTCGTTAAAAACTAGCACAAGAGGGGCACCTGTGTGGCTCAGCTGTTTAAGCAGCTGACTTCTGTTCAGGTCATGATCTCGCAGTTTGTGGGTTTGAGCCCCGCATCGGGCTCTGTGCTGACAGTTCAGAGCCTGGAGCCTGCTTCGGATTCTCTACCTCCCTCTCTCTCTGCCCCTCCCCCACTCCTGCTCGGTCTCTAAAAATTAAATAAATGTTACAAAAACATTTTTAAACCCCCCCCCCAAAAAAAACAACAACAATAACAACAAACTAGCACAAGAGTTACATGGTCAAAATCAGTCATCCAAACAGGACTTAATATTTCTATGATACGTTATATGTAAAGCTATTAGAGTTCAAACTCCGTTACAAGGTAGAGATTTTAACAACAAAAGGCCGGGAAACCAAACCAGTTAATTTTTCAGTAAAAGGAAACCTCTAACCCTGGAGATTTTAAAAGCCTTCTGAGGCAGTTTAAGAAAAACCAGGGGTCAAAGATTTCACAAAGACAGTGTTATTTTCTTCCTCATTCATCTAAAATCATTTTAAGTAGAAAAATTAGGCTTATTCTTGGGAAGCTACACAGCCAAATATCAGGGACACTGAAAACGACATACTTCCTGGCAAGGTAACTCCCTCCCTCCCTGCTAGGGATGGACCA